TTACCTTTTTTGTCTAGTAAAAAATTAAATTAAAAACATTATTAATAAAAGTATAAATCATTATTCAATGATTAGACTGTTGAAAAAATTAAAATAATATTAAAAGTACATGTTTTAAAATTTTGTTTCTCAAATAATCTAATTTTGTTACTTTTATCAATTAATTACGAAAAAAGAAATAATACATTAAATAAAAACTCACGTAATATAAAGTAATTTTGATGAACTTCTAAATTTTCTTAACACAATTTTTAAAGCAATTAATAGTAAATATATTTTTTAAAAAATGTTTAGTTTTTAACGTAAGAAGTTCTACCGATAATTTATGCAAATTATGCAGTTATTTATAAAAATTGTTACTGTAATTTATAAAAATATTAATATTGTGAATCTTAATAAAAAATCATTACTTCGGTAATTTATGCAAATTTTTAGAAAAAATTTCTGCGGTAATTTTAAGAATTTTTCGCAATAATTATTAAAAATTTGTTCCACATAAAATACAATTAAAAATTTTTTATTCTGTTAATTTATTGAAATTTTCGAGGTAATTTATGTAAATTTATAGAAATTTTTACTATACAATTTATAAAAATTTGTAAAGCATATAAACGAAGGGTGGCATGACAAAAGGGGTTAAATGCCAATTTTATGATTTTGCAGAAAACGAAAATAACATAATTAAAAATTTTCCTCGTTATTTAAGAAGAATCTAAAAAATAACCGTTTCAAAATATTATTTTGTTTTACTAGTGAAAATAAAATTTATGAAAATAAACTTACATATTAGTGAGAAAAATAAGTAAAAGTGGACCATTTTAGGGTAACGTGAAATGCGCATATTTTCTTTTAAAGTAATTGTTAAACAATATGCAGTTTAAAGAAAAACTAAAAAAATGGTTTTCTAATATTGAATTAACGAATTGAATAAATTCATGCCACCCTTCCTTTATTTTGTTATATCCTGTATATTTTTAACCTAAAATTTTCCCACACTTTAAAACACATGTACAAATTAACCAAAAAGGACCTCACATGAAAACATTAAACAGACTAGGAAAGTTCTAAGTAATCTCTTTTCTAAAAAACTTGTTCTCTCCTAATTTTATTGCTCACAGATGACACCGTAAAAAGGTCAGTTTCACATTTCCTTTTTTTTTAACGGTCCATTCTAACCTTGCTAAAAGAAAATGCTTTCTCGAACAAAAATCAAAAGTGTTTCCAAATGTAAAGGAAACCATAAATTGAAATATAACCTCTGACCGGATGACTAAAAAACGACCTTTTTGGGAACACAGCTGAGAGCAATAAAAGAAAAACAGACACAACACATGAACACGAAATATTTTTAAATATTAAAAATTATCAAGAATATTTTTATCTTAAAAGAGAAAACACCAAGTATTTTAATAAGGATAAAAATTATATCTTATTTTTTTCGAAAATTCCTTTAAAATCATAAAACTTAAAAAGCATAGTAAATATTGACTAGATAATTTTTATCCTGTTAAAGCTTGATATTTTCCGAAAACTATTACAATAAGTGCAGTAAATATCTGCAAGATTATAAATCTTAAGAGAGATACAGAATTCAATATTTCCAAAATTGTAAATAACTTTCTCTCCAGTATTTAAAGTTCTCATACAATGCCCTTTGTACCACGATACCGTAAATCATAAGATTCAAAACCTTAGGTAAAGAACCTGCGCATCGACCCTAAGCAATATATATAGACTATAGTAAATACACCTGAAGTAATTTCTAACCCTAATTTCTGGTCAAAAACGAAAAACAACAAAAATAATCAATTTAACTAAATAATAGAAAAACCAGTAACCAATTAAAAATAATGAATTGTAAATAAATAGAAAACTACAAAAATAATTACTATTCATTCTATTATTATTAAATAAAATAACCAAAAAGGTTATAATATAGTAAATAATTAAATTCTTAAGAATTAAAATTCAATAAATACTAATTATTACTCATAATTATTAAAACAACCAAGAATAATAATTAATATTGATAAACAATATAAATAATACCTAGAATAAATAAATAATAGAAACTAAATAAATAAAAAAATATCTACGAAACAATTAAACTTTAAATAAAATTAATAATTGTTAATTAATAAACATTAAACAATCTGTATTAATAAAAATTGTAAAATAATTAAAATCAACCAGTAAAATTATAAACAATTAATTGTTAAACAACAATTTTAGAACATAACCCTAAAAATTACGATAAAATTATGATTCAAAAAGGTACATACATTTAAAAATTATAAACAATTAAACTACGCTATAAAAATTAATGTAAAATTATTATTAAGTAGATTTATAATAACATTCTGTAAAAATCCAAAAACGTGAAATAATATCCCTACTTAACTTAAAATCAAAAGATAAAATCCCTACTCTCTAGAAATAGACACTGACCTAGGGTACGTCCCCTTAAGCCACAACCTACAATAATGGGATGGGTCTCGAAGACCCAATCCTAAAACGGCAGACCCAAATTTTCCTCGCTTTTCTCCATTTTCTTTCTACCATTTTCTTCCGGAAAACCAATCCTCAAATTATCCATCCCCTTTTACCATCCCTCTAAAAATATTTTCCCAGAATTTGGAAACTCCCTAAAATCTTAGTGGGGACAAACCTTTAAAAACAGCATCCCCAAGAGGATGTCACATCATTCCAAGTATTCAGTTCAATCTTAAACATTCATACAGTGTTCAGTCTCAAGTTCTCAATACTAAAATTCAACTTAAGTTCAAGTCTATTTTAAAAGTTATATACAAGTGTTAATTCTATTACCAAATTCAAATAATTTCATCACATATCAAAATCATAAATCGATATATCGATACATCGATACAGTTAAATCGATTAATCGATTATTAATAATCGATATTACGAAAATTCCAAATTATTTCACGTTTTTGAGGACAACGATATTATTCATAAATAATAAATAAAAAGTGAGTACAAATTCAAAATATTCTTATTAAATTCATCTTTCTCTTCTTAACTTTCTCAAATCTTGTCCAATTCCCAAATCCAGGTTCTATAACTGAGAATTATAAAAATTAAATACCTTTTTAAACTAATTGTGACTCCTGAAATTGTTACCTATGTTATCGAACCCTGTCATCTTATTTTTCTGTATTTGATGATTTGGATTCATCCTTTATAAATTAAAATCCTAAACATTTCAAAAACAAAACAAAATAAAACTCGAAAGTGTCCCGAACTATTAAGCGAGAGCTTAGGTTCTAATCACTAACATAATTCCATTTATTAAATATTCATTTATTTAATAAATTGAATTTAAAATAATTATGTTTAGTCCATAGGACGTAACATACTTAATTTTTGGAGGCCCCGGAGGGATAATTCGAGTTTAATTTTGTTGAATTTTCTTCTTTTCTTCTATTTTTACTATATTATCTAAAATGTTTTCTAAAATATATGTCTTTCGTTTTATCACTGTCGTTCTCATGTCCATATAAAAGGTCGTATTTTAAAATTTTTTTTTATAAAAATTTAGAAATTTTCTTTAAAAATTAAATAATTTTCTTTATTATTAACAATTTTCATTAAACTTTTTTTTTTTGAAAAAGATTAATAAAATTTAGAATTTTATTCTTATTGTCACTAAACGCAGCAAGCGTAGTTACGCACATTACGTACACGTAGTCGTTCCCTTTTAAACCTTCGTGCGTTCTCTCTCACTCTTATAGCAGTTAGTCCGCCCAAAGACTTTCACTCTTTTTTTTTTGAATAATAAATGTTGAATAGTTCAGAAAAATAATTTCTTATATATAAATAATATTTTTAATTAATAAAAATAACAAATTTCCTTTTTATATATCAAACAAGAATTTAAGAAATTTCAAATTTTGCCGCTCAACACGTGAAGATATCACGTGTTCAAAATTTTATACTGCCGTGTATAGTCAGACGCTCCCCACTACCGCGCGCCTGGTCAGACAGAGTACCGTCTGTTTCTACTTCGCTATCCACGAGCCAAGTATAACGGGGACTATCGCGAATTAGTACCCGTTCTTTTAACTGATAAATCCATGCGTTATCACGTGAAATGCGAAGTCCTTCGCGATTTTTAATATTTTTTTTGAAACTTTGAATTGGTTCTTAGTAATTCCATGTTCAATTAATAGATTCAAAATTTGAATGGAGATTCTACGACGATTCTTTCTAAAAATTGGTTTTAAATTTATTTTCTTGTTTTAAAACAAATTTATTTTCTATTTTTCTTTATTTCTAAAAAGAAAAATTTATTTTTTTTTATTTCAAAATGACTAGCGAAAACAATCAAATTGAATTATTATTGGACGATAATAAATTTATGTGGACATTTATTAACAAAGATACCCAAGAAATTGAATATTTAAAGAAACAATTGAAAGCACTTGCTGAGGAAAATAGGTTATTGAACAACACAGTTAGACGTTTGGTTTCTTATTCGACCATCCCTGGCAAGAGAACGATTATAGATGAGCTTGACTTTGCCTTCACAAAATTAACCATCTAAATTTTTTTTTACGGAATTAAACAAAAATTCCAAGATTGTTAAAAACAGAGATTTTTTTTTAATAATATTTTTAAAAGAAATTTTTATTTACGGAACAAAGATTCCAAGATTATTAAAACTAAGATTTTAATAATATTTTTAAAAGAAATTTTTTATTTACGGAACAAAGATTCCAAGATTATTAAAACTAAGATTTTAATAATATTTTTAAAAGAAATTTTTATTTACGGAACAAAGATTCCAAGATTATTAAAACTAAGATTTTAATAATATTTTTAAAAGAAATTTTTTATTTACGGAACAAAGATTCCAAGATTATTAAAACTAAGATTTTAATAATATTTTTAAAAGAAATTTTTATTTACGGAACAAAGATTCCAAGATTATTAAAAGACTTCTGTTTTTAATAATGTTCAATTTTTTTATTTAAATTAAAATTATTTAAATTGATGCCTGTCATTTTTCCTTTTTATAATGCTTATACCCAAAGACGATATCATAGTTAAACTCTGCAATAGGGTTAATAAAATTGAAGAGACGGTAGAAATTAACTCGGACATCGATAAAGACCATTGGGAAACCACTGCTTATTTATGCGATGAATCAGTGAAAATGAAGAAAGCTTTAATTTTGTTAACCTCTGTTAATCGAGAGTTGATTAATATTGTCCGGAAATTAGTACCTGCTACTACAGCAGAAAATAAGGAAGAATTAATAAATGATTTGGACGTCGCTTTTGCTCGATTGAATATAAAATAAATGAATTTAAAATTTTTTTTTTCTTCTTGAAATGAGTTATGTACCAGTTCAAGTAAATCTAATCACGTGTCCCTATGATCCATCTCATAGATTGAGACCAGAAAAAATCGTTGGTCACTTAATCAAGTGCAGAAGGAACAATTATCCTGAATCAGAAGAGAAAATTATCTGTCCTCATACAGGATTACATGAAGTACGCGTTAAGGAATTAAATTATCACCTAGAATCTTGTAAAAGAAAATATTTTAAAATTTATAAAAGTTTATAGAAATTTTTATCTTCTCATTTTCTTTTATACTTGTGAAAATGAAAAAATTTATAATCGAACAAAATATTGAAAAAATCATAAAAAAGGGAATTATTGAAAATATCCCATCTCCTTATTCAGCTCCAACTAAACAATCTTATAAAAATAGAATTATTATAAGATTTTAAAAATCCATCACTTCTTTATTCCAAAATAAATAAAAGAAGAAAAATTTGTTTCAAAATATTAAAATTTTGACCCAAATTTTACTGTTCATACGCGCAGGTACACAATAGCTGCATTAGCGCATGCGTGTCACTGCAGCATTGAATATTTTAATTATTTTAATTAAAAGGATAATTAATTTTAATTTTCTATAAAATTAAAATTAATTGAAAAATTTCTAGTTTCTCGAATAGAATATATCTATTTTTGAAGAATCAGAAAATATCCTTATGGAAAACAATCCTCCTTTAAAAGAAAATTCCTCTAATAAAAGGAAAAGAGGAAATAAAAAATTCATAACTATTAAAAGCAGTTCTTGGATGTATCATAATTTGGTCAAAAGACCCATCAAAATTGTTCCTACTGCAATTGTTAAACCAACAGTACGGGTTCCTATCCAAATCGAGCAGGTACAACCCCAAAACCTTGTTGAAATAGATCTAACAATTGAGGAAGCAATATTGTTAAGAACTCGAGCTCTTGCCGAGGAGGGTCTAGTGCGTAATTTTGCGATCCCAGAAATTATTGACTTAACAGAATAGTAATCGATTCCTATATATTTTTTTTTAGTGTCTGAATATTTTACGGCACCAAAAAAGTTAACTGGAAAACAAAGGAAAGCCATTAATAGGAGGCTAGCCAAGGTTAAAGCAGCAAATGGAGAATCTTGGCTACCAATACATGAATTTAGGAGATTAAGAAGAGAGCGAGACGCTCTTAACCAGAAATTGAGTATTATTGAAGAGGAACCTTCAATATTTCCACCCCTACCCAAAGAAGTAGAACCAATACCACTTCCACCTCTTCCTAAAGATGAAGAAGTGAAATCAATTCCTTCCTTTTCAGAGGAAAAAGAAAATTTTTCAATAACAATCCATCCAAGCGTGTATAAAAGTCTTAGTTTAGACACTAAGATAGCCTTAATGCGCAAAAACCTTTGTAAACATATGTTAATACCTAATCAGTGCGTGAATTGTTTGGAAGATTGGAGGAAAAATTATAAAATTCCCAAAAGAAAATCTAATAATAATAAAAACGAAAAATAACTAAACAAAATTCTTTTTTTTTCTCATTCCTATCCTTTGTAGAGAAAAATATATAAAATTTTTTTTTATTATTAATGAGTGATAAAAGAATTACTCGACAAGGAGCAAAAGACGACCCAAAATTATCGGAAGAAATTGAACAGTTTAATCCTTTCGGTAGATCACAAATAGTATCACGTTCGCCTACGAGTATTGTAAAGCCCCTTTTAGATCTTTCTATTGATTCTGACATATACGACGAAACTACAATTGAACACATACCAAAAACAGATACACCACTAAATACAAATATACAATTGTACACTTCTACACCGAAGCCTACAATTTTAGACTACTCAAACGATACAGACGATAACACTATAATTTCTTTAGATTCAGAAAATCTTAATCAAGTTTTATTAGGAAACAATTTTTTAAATCCAAATTTAAATAATCTTGAACCTAATATAAATTTAAATAACGTTGAACTTCAACCAGTAAACATGGCTTTACAACTTAATCAAACTGTCAGTTTGACAGATGCCCTTAAGGCAGTGCCAGAATTTGACGGTACAAACATTTCCGTTAATGAATTTATTCGAGGATGCTTAGAAGCTAAAGCTATGGTAGGTGAGGCAGCAGAGGAAAATCTCACTAGGTTGATCAGAACAAAAGTTTACGGAGAAGCTAGGAAAGCTATAAGTGGGCAAACATTTGGAAACACGGAAGAATTTAGTAACTTCCTCAGGGATATTTACGCGACTACTAAAACGGTCAAACAACTATATGGCGAATTAGGTAACGAATTTCAAAAAGAGAATGAAAATGTTTTAACTTTTGCAAATAGGATTCGGGATATAGGAACGAGAATTTTAGATGCACAAAGAATAATGACCAATGCTGTAGTTACGGAAGCGTTTAAAACCGAAACTCAAAATGATATTATTGAATGTTTTAAAGAAGGCCTTTTGCCTGAGATAGAACAAAAAATGACTAATCAAGCAAACATAAATAACCTAATTAGGGAAGCTATAAGAGTCGAAAAGAAAATTCTAGCTCAAAGAGAAAAAAGACTAGGTAGTTCGGAAACAAAAAATCAAAAAAGGAGGGAAATCTTTCAAGCTGAAGAACACAATCCACCACAACCCATGAACACTAACTTTGAAAATGCTACAGTTTTTTGTCAAGTTTGTAATCGTAAAGGACATTCTGCATTACAATGCTATAAAATCAAAACGTGTCCAATTTGTAATAAGAGTGGACACGATGCAAAGTTTTGTAGAGCCAACGGTCCGGAAAAATGCCAAATCTGCGATAAATTAGGGCATAATGCAAGAACATGTTATCAAAACCCACTTTACAAAAGACCTAATGAACAGAATCCAAATAACAAACAAATCGAGTCTAGAACCCAATTTAAATGTCAAATTTGTAATAGAATCGGCCATACAGCAGCTAGTTGTAGAAGTCTACCTAAAAATAGCGATAATGAATGTAAATTTTGTCACAAGCAAGGGCATCAAATAGAAGAATGTAGGTCACGTATTTATCAGAACAGACTTAGAGATCAGGGAAACGATCAGAGTCCCCATCGTCAGGGCGTGAATCAGGGGACTTTTCAAAATCAAAATCGCTCAGTCAATGTAACAGAAACCCAGGATCTTGCGTCAGAGTTAATACCGTAACTGAAGAATCACTTAAATTCAGTCCTTATATCACCATGACAATAAGTAGTTTTTCAAAACCCGTAAATTTATTATTAGATACGGGAGCAAAAGTAAATTTAATAAAAGAAGGTGCAGTACCAACAGAAGGAAAAATTAATTACAAAGATGTGTACAAGATTAGTGGTATAGGAGGTGATTCTTCAGACTCAATTGGTTCATTTAAATTAAAAATAGCGGATCAATTAGTAGAATTTTTAGTAATTTCTGACTCAATTCCAATTCCTTATGATGGAATACTGGGAACTCAATTTTTCTTTCAAACAAAAAGTAAATTAAATTTTAAAACTCAGAAATTAGAAATCGAAAATACTAGAATTCAAATGAAACGAATGGGTTTAACTAATTTAAAAAAAATGTCAGACGTATGCTACACTGAACAAAGTAGTATTATAGGTAGGCTACCTGTGCTAACCATACAACACATGATTAGTAACATTAGTACTTCCTTTTTGATTGATACCGGATCAGAAGTAAATTTAATGAAAGAAAAATTGTTGTTCCCAGGTGATAGATACGATTCTAATAAGAAACAAATTTTAAAAGGTATAGGTCCAGACACAATAAAAACACTAGGCAGTTTAGATTTGTGCATTTTCGGAGCAGAATCAGAATTTCAAATAATAGATGATGAAATTGCATTACCTTGTGAAGCCATATTAGGATCAAGATATTTTCAGGAAAGCAAAGCGATAATTGACTTTGAAAACTCAATATTTATTGTAGACAATATGAAATATTGTATAGAATATAAGATCAAAAATTCCATCAATAGACAAATCAATGAAATTCCTAATTCTGAAGTTCAAAATCCTTTATACCATGAGAATTGCCAGGAAGATGAAATTAAAAGTTTAGCAGAAAAACACGTCTTTCTTATTTCTAATATGGAAATGAAAAATGACTTGAACATTAACCTGTGTGATGAAGATTACTCACCAGAATTAGATAAATTCACTCTTGACGAAGAACCTTCACTTAACTCGGAATCAATTGATATAAAAGATTATTTGCGCTTAGATCATTTAAATCCAGAAGAAAAAGCTCATGTTTTGCAATTAGTTAGACAATATAGGCATCATTTCTTCCTTCCTGGAGATGAACTCACTGGTACGGATAAAGTTATGCATAGAATCCCTACTACAGATGATATTCCTGTATATTCAAAACAGTACAGATTCCCCCATTCAATGAAAAAAGAAATTCTAAAACAAGTGCAGGAACTATTAGATGCAGGAATTATTAAACCTTCCAATTCTCAGTACAGTACACCATTATGGATTGTACAGAAAAAACCTGACTCAGAAGGGAATATTAAATGGAGAGTAGTGTTAGATTTTCGCGCTCTTAATGAAAAAACTCTAGGAGACGCATATCCATTACCTAATATCACAGAAATTTTTGACCAAGTAGGCGGCGCTAAATACTACTCGGTTTTAGATTTGGCTAAAGGCTTTCTTCAAATTAAAATGGATCCTAGGGATGCCCATAAAACAGCCTTTAGTACACCATTTGGTCATTACGAATTCACCCGTATGCCTTTCGGCCTTAAAACTGCACCCGCTACATTTCAGCGACTTATGGATCAAGTTTTAAAAGGTTTACAAGGTGAAATTCTCTTTGTTTATTTGGATGACATAGTAATCTATGCAAACAGCATAGAAGAACATGATTACAAATAAAATCTTCTAATAGAAAGGTTAAATGATGCAGGTCTAAAATTGCAAGTCGATAAATGTGAATTTTTGAAGCAAGAAGTTTCTTACTTAGGGCACGTTCTTAGCGAAAAAGGACTAAAAGTTGACCCTAAGAAAATCGAAGCTGTCCAGAAATTCCCTAATCCTAAGAATATTAAAAACATTCGCGAATTTTTAGGACTAGCAGGTTATTATCGAAGATTCATAAAAGATTTCGCGAAAATCGCAAAACCACTCACAAAATTATTACAAAAAGATATAACTTTTGAATGGAATGATAAAGCTAATGAATCTTTCGTTACACTCAAGAGTCTTTTATGTAATGCCCCTTTACTTCAATTTCCTGATTTAGATAAACCCTATAACGTAACTACGGACGCATCAGGTTACGCGATAGGAGGAATATTGTCTCAGGGAGAAATTGGAAAAGATAAACCAATTGCGTATTTTTCCCGAGTTTTACGAGGCCCAGAAATTAATTATGAAGTATATGAAAAAGAGGCCAAAGCTGTAATCGATTCCGTTGAAGCATTTAGGTCGTACGTGTATGGTAGGAAAATTACAATCTACACAGATCATCAACCACTAGTTTGGTTTAAAACCGCTACCTTAAATACGCGAATCCAAAAATGGCGTTTTAAACTCTCTGAATATGAATACACTATTATTCATAGATCAGGAAAAACTAACACCAATGCAGATGCTCTCTCTAGAAATCCTATAGAAGAAGCACTAATTAATGTTTTAACAAGAGCCCAAAAGAAATTAGAAGAATTAGAATCTCGCGATGTTCAACATCCCCAAATCCCCGTACCTAAACCTTCTTCACCAATTCCGAATAAAGCTTCTAATCCTGTAATTGATCTCGCGTCTAAACCCAAATCTTCATTAACAAATTGTAACGAATCTCAAAAAGACGAGATCCCTGTCTTAGATGCAACCTTAGAAGATCGTACTTTTCGAAGGTTTCCCAAACGGAATTTAAGAATCCCCTTACCCAATTACGAAGAAAACGAAGATTCTAAAGAGGAATCTACTGCAGATCCAGTACCCCTCAAGAGCCCTGAACCCAAACTCCGGGAAGACTCTTCAGACGATTTTGAAGAAGATTTATTCCCTAAAAACAAACCCCCACAAACTTCGAAAATTAAAGTAATGAAAAAAAGAGGACGCCCAAAAAAGATTATTGTCGAAGAAAAAGACATCACGTCACGGGATATCATTTTTCCCAATCCAAGAAAAAACGCTAGAAAAAGAAGATATTTACGCCACGACTCGGATACTAATTCAGGGGACTCTAGTTCAATTTCTTCTGAAGATTCTCAAAACCTAGATTTTGAAGTTAGGAAAACTAATCTAATAAAAACTAGGGAACCTATTCAATATAGGAAAGATAACATCGCGTATTTTGTAACCACTAAAGGTTCTCCTTGTGATTTTGGTGCCGAAAAATTAATTGAACACAACAAAATTTCAAATAAAGGTAATTTCACAATAGGTGAAATTAACACAATTAAAAGGAAAAACAATAGACATTTATTTGCAATGTGTTTAAAAGATGATAATCCTCAATCTCTATCTCAAATAAAAGATTCAATTCTTAAATTGTTAAAAAAATTGAAAAAACATCTCGAAGAAATAAACCAAAACGAATTTTCAATTGCTAAAAGTGAAAAAATTGAAAATTTGGATTGGGAAGAAATACAGAATTTAATTAAATTGACTTTTCAGGGATCAAATATTACTATTCTGGTTTGTTATGGCACCGTCAGATATGTCCCTTTGGAAAAAAGAAACGATATCTTTGACGAATTTCATAAATGCCCTATTGGAGGTCATAAAGGCGTTAGCAAAACCTACAATAGAATCAAACAACAATATTTCTGGGAAAGACTAAAAGACGACGTAATTAGACGAATACAACAATGCTTAGAGTGCCAATTGAAAAAGCTAGTACGTTTAAAAACTAAACAACCCATGGTAATTACAGATACCCCAGGTGTTGCTTTAGAAAAAATAGCCATGGATATAGTAGGACCCATAAAGAAAACACGAAACGGGAACGAATATATCCTTACAATTCAAGACCTTTTCTCTAAATTTTGTTTAGCCGTACCTTTATCCAACACACTATCAAGTACTATAGCCGACGCTTTTATTAAAAAATTTATATGCGTTTTCGGTTCTCCCAAAACTGTCCTAACAGACCAAGGTAGGAATTTTCTTAGTGAATTGATGGTCAGAGTATCAAAAAGATTCAGAATAAAGAGAATTCGCACCACGGCTTTTCACCCCCAATCTAATGGTTCACTAGAAAGATCTCACCATTCATTAGCTGAATTCTTAAAACAGTACACTGATGCAGACAATGAATGGGACGAATGGATTGATATAGCAATGTTAAGCTATAACACTAGCGTTCATGAGACTACTAAACACACCCCTTATGAGGTTATATTTGGGCGATTAGCAAGACTCCCATCAAGCGATCCCTTACGAGAAGGAGATTTGCTTCCTACCTTTAAAGGATGTGTTTCGGAACTAGTGACCAGATTAAATGGCATACAAAAGTTAGTATACAAAAATCAAACCGAATCTAAAGAAAAATCGAAAAACTATTATGACAAACAAATTAACCCCGTAAATTTCAAATTAGGAGATTACGTGTTTTTACAATCAGGACCAATCCCCGGTAAATTAGGTGACCATTATTCTGGTCCTTTTAAAATAATTGAAATTTTAAACAAAAATAATATCAAAATTCAAATGGGAAAAAACCATAAAGTAGTCCACGCAAATAGACTTCGTATTTCCCATATTCATTCAGAAAACAAAATTAACAAAAGGACACAGAGAGACGAGAGTGATTAAACGAAATTAATTTTGCTTACATGAAAATAAAACGACAACAAGTTTTTGTTACAGAATGATTTCGGTAATTCTCGCTATTTTGATTTCGTCAACTAACGCACTTATCGGGTACGATTGCGGGTCTGGTAATTTAAATATTACTACCCTATCTTTAAGGGAAGTCGGGGAATGTAATATTCCCATAAACAATGTAAGTATAGAGCAGAGATATGTACAATTGCTACAAATCGATAATTTTAATGACGTCAAAGTCATACAATGTAAGGTAGTGATCCATAGAACTATATTTAGTTGTGGGATGTTTTCTCACATATCTCCGGTACAAAATGCAGAAAACGAATTCGTACAGGAAATTAGTGAGGAAGCATGCCGTAAATTGCATAGAACAGGTTA